TGTAGATTCACGTGTGGTCGTATTTTAAGCTGCGTCTGCGCTGTGTAACGAAACAGTGTTGTGAAGCAAATTGCTTTATAATCTTGTTGTGCAACATGCTTTTACAACTTTGGTGTTACGGTAACAAGTTACTATTTTTTCGTCATTCTTACTTTTGTCTTTGAAGTTTGTCGTGTTTTACCGAAGGATCTCCGAAGAATCCTTGTGTCTGCGCTTTTGTAAGTGGTGAGTGTCGTGCTTTTCTGTTGGTGTGTGTTGTTTCGTAGGAAATAGTTATTCTAGGTTTCCAGTTCCATGCAAAGCGATCACGAAACAATTTACTCGACTGTGACTGGCAACCCACGCGTTGGTCCTTGAGAGCGAACAGATTTAACTTTTCTCTTATTGTAAGGAAGGATAGTTCTTTTTAAGCCTAGAGCGTTCTTTCGTTCGACTCTGCACTTGCGATCTTTGGGTCTTTTGCGTCAAAAAAGGCCCAAAGAGCCTAAGTGTATAGTCAAACGAAAGAACGCACTAGAGTTAGGGTCTTTTCATCTTTGGGTCTTTTTTGACCCAAAGTCCTTGAGTGTACAGTCGAACGAAATAACGCTCTGTGGTTAAAATCACTATCCTGGCTCTTCGGGTCATTTTTAACCCAAAATTGATGATTGGTCTGAGTCTTTTTTGACCCAAAGTCTTTGAGTGTATAACCGACTGAAAGAACGCATTAGAGTTAAAAAGACTATCCTGGGTCCTTTGATCTTTGGGTCTCTTTTGACCCAAAGACCTTGAGTGTACAATCGACTGAAAGAACGCATTAGGGTTAAAAAGACTATCCTGGGTCTTTCGGTCTTTGGGTCATTTTTGACCCAATATCATACAACAATTTTTATTACCATCGCGCCATACGAACCTAGGCAATAAACTTCAAATACAACGTTAAAGGGACACAAACCTGATAACAGCAAAAGTTGTTAAAAAAAGTAAGACGACAGTGGGTGAAAAATGACCCGAAGATCGCACTACGGTTAAAAATATCCGATTCTTGATCGAACGAAAAGAAACATCGATGTAGTAGCGTAACTCCTTTCGTCGGCCAGGTATCGAACCCGGTAATCCGTTTCGATCGATGCGATCACGATATACTGTTGGCCAGCTCGTTTTTATTCAATCGGATTATCGAAACGACGACGACGACGGATTGTACTCGGTGAAATCGTTCCCCTCGTTACAACGCGATTCCACGAATTCCTCGGGGCACGGGGGGGCAGCCGCGTGTTTGCATGAGTTCAAGTATGACTTATCGAAGCTAATCGAATTGATGTCGGTGCCCGAGCACCTTCCGGGTTGCCGCATTGGAATGTTGTCGCTTCAATCGGACATATTGGCCGCACGTAGGCGCGGAGCAGATCCTTTCAGACACGATTGCCTCCATTCTCTATCGGGCATAATGACGAGTATCGCTTTTTATACTTTCTGCCATGCTGCATTTTCTTGCGCTTTCGTAACGTCCAATTCCAAGCTTATCTAGTCGAATGGATACGCGAACGCGCCACGATCGAAGAAGTTGCGCTTTTATTTCCGGGATGAAACGCTCTTTCCAACTTCTTACCGCCACAGTTTATCGCAGCCTCGTCAGTTTTCATCACCTGTATCTGGTTACCACTCGCGCGGAATTATATTTATTTCCACAGATACCGTTACAATCTCAGACGACGAAACTTCATTTTTACGGTTACGGGGAGTTATCCAGCTGTAAACGCTCGATCTCGAGAAAATCGTGCAACGCGAAAGAAACGACAAACTTTTCAATCTATCCTTTATCTAATCACGTGGAGATGTTTAATTGAAACGAGGTGCGTTCGAACAACGATCTCTCGGGCTAAACGGTTTTTAAATCGGTGGACAACCGGTTCCCGCGTTCAGAGATCCTCCGCGGCTCTCCTATCATCGCTAGTGAGTTACTCAGCGAGCACGGCAATAAATTAAACCGAACGATCTAATTTCAGTTCCGTGGAAAGAGGAGGTTTATTCGTGAGCTTATGCTCGGCGCATCGATCACCCTCGCTATTTGACCGTGACTTTAATAATCGCGCCGGGGCGAACGATCTTCCGTCAAGCGGAGACGAATCGTTGGTACGAGCCGCTTCGAGCCTCGATTTACCGTCAATAGTTTCTCCGAATGATCGATTCGACTAATCATCGTTCGTGACTGGTTCCCTGGAATCGAATAAGGAACCGATAATTCCCGAGAAGTTATATCTTTCGGTTAATGCACCGAAGGAAAGTCGCGCACACCCTTCCTCTCTCTGCGTACACCATCAGCGTTTTAACCTCTTTGCTTGCACTTCGATCCCCGGCGATCGTGTTCCTCGCCGTCGTGTGCGGACAATTACCCGCGCATGAATATTTAAACGCAGAGAGGAGAGAGAAAGTCGAGTGTGGTTATTAACGGGCGCGGATCAAGGGCGACTGCATTTAAATCTAAGGACCAAAGAAACCGCGAAGGCGATATCGCAGGTGACTTTTGCGAAATCGATTTAACTCCTACCGCAAGATAAATGCCTCCTCTCCTCGGTCTGAATCCGCGGACGCGTGGAAACACGACGATAATCTCCGGGTAAGGAGATTAAGTTCTCCGCCGTTGGATCAGACTGCATGAAGAACCGATCGATTATCAAGCAGTGACGCGTTCACCAGGGTAGACTGGTTATCTTTAGGTCAGTATACTGTGCGCAGCAACATCCAGAAGCATGGAATGCCGTCTTCCACCGATCAGGATTCATAGGCTGTGCACGCGTGTTCGCGAAAGATTGCGGTCTTTTCGATTGGGAGCGAGAACCAAAGTGAAAGATCTCGAAAAGGAAGGCGATTAAGGGGGAATGGGACCTTGAGCGCGGTCAGCCACTGCGAGAGGGACCAGACGGCGAATGCTGGAGCGCGGGTATGCGCGACCGCCATATTGTTGTGACTACTATACCCTCCAAGACCCTGACCAGCCACCCACACTCGCTAATCGTGGCTCCAGGTTCGCCGGGAGAGGCTAGGAACCTCACCTGATGGAACGCGGTGACACGACCGCCTGCGAATATCTCTTATTGCTTCTAGCCAACGTTCATTTATCATCCCTGCCGATTATCTGATCGTTTACGTAACCAAATCACGAGTTCGCTGTAGACAGAATTTTGGCCTCGGATAGTCGTTTAAAATTACGTCGACACGGAACTGTTTTTACACACGTTCACTTTGCTATCTTTTTTTCTCTACTCGCCAATTCAGCGAATTAAATTGAAGTATTTGCAAAGGAGAAAAAGGGTACAAGTGGTTCTATTTATGGAGCAGCAAGGTCGTGAATCGAAGGAATAGACGCAACGGCGAAGGGAGGAATGCGAATAATTTTGTGGAAAGTTAGGCGGTCCAGCTGAATGTAACGTACCAAGGATGAACGTTTCATCCGTGTATCGTAAAGTTTCGCGTTTAATAGGATCCTGAAAGTCAGCTTGTTCGTTAGCCGTGCAAGCTGTAATAGCTACCTGCGCAGCCTCGCCTTCCCTCGTACTTCTTGAATTATTCTTAACGGTTTCGTTCTCACACCCACCTCGAGCGATCGAGCAGCATCCACTTTCGAGGAGTGGTGCACGCCGATCCACAGGGAGTTTCCTTATTTCCCTCCCGTCGAAGTCGTCGATCTTTCCACGCTGACGATCTCAAAGGCTTCTCTATACACACGCACACGCGTTGCCGAAGCGCCCGCAGCTCTCTAAGAAACCACTTTCCCGAGAAATTTAACGAGCACCGGTCGCGGACGAGCCTCTCTCCACGTTGATCGCGTATGCAAAAATGAATGGCCGCTCGGTCGCTTTTCCCCGGCGGAGCTTCAATTACAAATGAACCGTCGGTGAATCCATATTTAGAAGCTGCAGGCTGGTCTTTAGTTTTCCTCTCAGGATCGCGGTGGTTTCGCGAGAGGTGCGAAAAACGCTCGGCGAAGTGGATCACCGGGGCCCTCCTCGTAATAAGGCACCGCGAGTGTAAATGATCGCGCGTACGCCCACGATCATCGACATCCGGTACATCCAACCTAGCAATTACCGCGCGCCTTTTCTACAATAGAGGCGACGCTGTTTTCAGATAACGAGCAGGCGAGCACGCGCTTAGAACCCGGCACCGTTAATCCTTCAACAGCGCAAATACCTTGAACGACGAATCTTTTCTAATTTCCTGGTAGACTAATGTCTTCACTCGCATCGAGTGAACACGTTAAAGGGTTAACGGCGTTTCGAGGCGTGTGCGGTAAGATTCGCAAGCACAAATCTCGTTCATCCAGGCAAGAGAATTTATTTTTAGCCCGGCTCGATCTCTCCTGGCGTCGATTTCCCACACGGTGAGCCGCGATCCATCTTTGGCGGACAATGAGCGGTAGCGGTGGATCGGTTCGGAGCAGGAATTCCTCGCGTCGAAGGTGCGCCACTCGCAAACACGCCTTTGTCTCTCCGCGCTGCCACGGACCAGAGACAGAGAGAGAGAGAGAGAGAGCTGCCTCCGTTTCGAATGCTCTGGCTGGCGCGCGCGAAACCGGAGAACCTTAGCGGCGCGTAACGCACCGAGATTAATGCGTAACCTTTATGAAGCGCGACGTCGAGGCGGAGGGATGCTTGCGTGGGCGTACGCTGCGCGTGTTCCCTCCGTCACGGTGAATTCCATCGCTACATCAACCTCCTCTACCTTCGGGTTCAATGAAATCGACGTTGCTTCCTTTTTTTCCTCGTTTTTTCTTCGTTTCGTAACGCGGCGAGAAACTCGGTAATTAAAGGGAAGGAGAATTGGCGCTAACATTTTTGCGCAGTTTGCCACTTAACAGTGGTAATCGGTTGATTCGAGCAACTTTAA